CACGCCACCATGCCCAGCTAATTTTTAAATTTATTGTAGAAACGAGGTCTTGCCATGTTGCCCAGGATGGTCTCAAACTCCTGGGCTCAGGCAATTCTCTGGCCTCAGCCTCTCAAAGTGCTGGGGTTACAGGTGTGAGCCACCGTACCTGGCTGGTATTTTTTTAAATGTGCTTTATCTGCTCATTTATGGCAAAAGGATTGCTCCCTGCATCTATGCTTACAGGAAGTCATCAGATGAAGATGTGGGTTTGCACATGGCACCTATGTGACTCAATGACCACAGCAAACAAGACTGCCAACACCCTGCAGTAGTGCTCAGAAGGGGGCGTGCCAGGAGTCATGTGGCTCACCTGGCCAGTTCCTATGATGTCTGTCAGCATCACCAAGGTGCCTTAAACCAGACGCAGCCCCTTGGAGACAGCTACCCAGTGATGCCAGAGCCAGGGATAGAGTGCAACGTACCTATGGAATTGTTAAAATGGACAAGGATTGGTTTTCTATGTCCTCGAGTCTTTGGTTAAAAAATTAAATTTATTTTGAAAACAAAAGGAGAGTGGTGCACGGGCCCCCTTCCCCTGGTCTCTGCGAGTTGCCCCAGTTGGGCCGCTCCACGCAGCCTCGGCCTTCTCCCAGGGATGAGGGTTCTGGGTGGCAGTCGCCTCGCAGGGCAGGGTGATACTTCCTGTCTGTGGGGGAGGGCGCCAGGCTGCGTGGTCGTCATGGGAAGTCACAGTAGGGCAGGCGGAAGGGCTGCAGGGGCGTGTAGCGTGTGTCCTGCCAGAGGAGCTTGCCCTCCAGGAAAGTGACGGTGGGCAGCGTCAGGACCAGGGTCTGGTGCTTAAGCATGCTGTGAACGTTCAGGCCTGGAGGCGAGACACCATCAGGCAGGGCTGCCATGCCCCTACATCTGGAGTCCCTTTTCACTCCTTGGGGTGCACCTGCCCCCACTTACAGACACTCCCTCTAGCGTGATTGTGAGCCTAGCAGCTGGGTCCGTACCCTGGCCCCACACTGCCTGCGCGATCCCAGCCAAGGAACCACCCCAGCTCACCACTGATGCCTTCTGCAGGCCAGGCTCTGCCCTGCGCTTGGCATGACTCCCAGCTCACATTCCAGTGGGAGACACAGGGACAGTGAAAGGTGGGCAGGGAGGGTACGGGGCAGGTCGTGCAGGGGCTGGTCAGCCTCATCAAGGACTTGAGCTTTCACACTGAGGGAGGTGGGAGCCATAGAGGGCTGTGGGCAGAGGAGGGAGGTTCCCTGACTAGGATGCTCACGGGGCCCTCTGGTGGCTGTGGAGGGAACAGACCATGGCTGTGACAGATATGTGACCTCAGAACTTTTCTTTCTTTTGAGTTGGAGTCTCACTCTGTCGCCCAGACTGGAGTGCAGTGGCCATTCCCGGCCACCGCAGCCTCGACCTGCCAGGCTCCGGCGATCCTTCCGCCTCAGCCTTCCAAGTAGCCGGAATTACAGGTACGCGCTACCACACCCGGCTGATTTTTTGATTTATTGTAGAGATGAGGTCTCACTGCCCAGGCGGGTCTCGAACCCGCGGGCTCAGGCAATCCATTCACCTCAGCCTCCCAAAGTGCAGGATTACAGACTGAGCCACTGAGCCCAGCTAGAACTTTTCTTTTTTAAAAATGGGGTCTCTGCTTTGTCAGTCGGGCTGAAACACCAGTGGCATGATCATAGCTCACTGCAGCCTTGAACTCCTGGACTTAAGGGATCCTCCCATTTCAGCCTCCAATGTGGCTGGGACTACAGGTGCCATCACATCTGCCTGGCACTTTTAAGAAAGGTTATTCTGCCAGGTGTGATGGCTCACACCTGTAATCCCTGCACTTTAGGAGGCCAAGGGGGAAGATTGAGTCCAGAATTTAGAGACCATCCTGGCCAACATAGTGAGACCCCATTTCTATGAAAAATAAAAAATTAGCCAGGCATGGTGGCATGCACCTGTAGCCCCAGCTACTTGGGAGGCTGAGGCAGAAGGGTCGCTGAGCCCAGAAGGTCGAGGCCGAGGTGAGCTATGACTGCACCACTGTACTGCAGCGTGAGCAACAGAGGGAGACCCTGTCTCCCTGTTATTCTGCTCAAGCTGAGGGGCAGATTCAGGGAGGGTGCTTACTGCCTGAGACCACTCAGCAACCAAGCATGGTTCAGGCCTTGAGACCCGCCTGTGACTGAAAAGCTGGGCTTGCAGGTGCACACCCTGGGCCTTGGAAGTAGGCTGGGCCCTTCACTCACCAACGGCCGGGATCAGGTTGAAGGTCTTGAGGCCGGAGGTGGCCTCCACAACGTTTTGTGGCATCTCTTCGTATGCTCTGTAAGGGAGATGGAGGTGAGCTCTGCAGGGGATAGAGCTCAGTCCAGCTCCTCCCCACCCAATGCTCTTACAAGTCCACGAGGAGCACGGAGTCCCCCCAGCGGCGGTAACGGGCCAGCTCTGTCAGGTATCGGGGGTCTGCGGTCGGCAGCTCCAGGGAGTCTACAACGTGCAGGTCGTCCTGGTAGGGGGGAGGGTCCTGGTGGGACCATCTGACCTCCCAGAGCACCCACCCCCAGCCGCTGCCCAGGGCCCGGGGGCTGTACCTGGGCCAGCTTGACAGTCAGCGCCACCTTGAGGCCCAGGGCCCTCACCTTCATGGGCAGCATGTAGTAGTAGCTTGTGGGGCCCCGGGGACCATGGGCGACGCCTCCTGCGGGGATAGCGGGGCGTGCAGTTCAGGTGGCTGCTGAGCTTAGAGGTCAATTTGCCACAGTGGCTGCAATGGGGTGGGAATGGGGGCTGCTGGAAGCCAGGCTGAGCCTCAGAAGAGGCAGCAGGGCCACAGGGCAGGCTGCATCAGGGACAATCTGGGACCAGTGACTTAACGTCATGGGCCTCAGTTTCCCCAGCTGTCAAGTCCTGTGATTGGATGGTTCTTTCCTCCTGGGACACCACGAGTTACAGAGTGAACTTAACCCAAGAACAAGTTGTTAAAGCTGTAATCGTCAGGAGGTGAAACCTCCAGGTCTGAGGGAGGGGTGGGCGTCAGGCACAGACTGCAATGGAGCCCGCAGTGTATGAAGTGGGGGCGCCAGCTGCTGGGGAGATGGCCTGGCGAGCACCAACCCTGGTGTGTCCACACTCAGCTGGGCAGCAGAGGGTAAGATGGTCGTGACCCCTGCAGGGCAGACAGAGGCTCAGCCAGGACAGCCCAAGGGGCGATGGAGGGCTTCCTGGAGGAAGCATGGCTCAGACCCCTGAATCCTGAAAAGCAAGGGGAGCTGGCCAAGTCCACAGGAGATAGACTCCAAGTCCACTCTGCCTGGGCAAGGAGGGGAAGGGTCCACAGCCGCCAGGGCCGGAAATGGCAAGGAAAGGCCATGGGAGCTGAAGCTGAGGAGGGCTCCCGGGGTGCTGTGCAGTGTGGGCCAGAAGGGTGAGGTGCAAAGCGGGCAGGGCAGGGAGGAGGGGTGCAGGAGGGGAGTGCACAACTCTCCATGTGTCCTCAGTACACAGCGAGATCCACAGGGCAGGCCTGGATGCCAGCAGCTCAGGCGGCTGATGTGGGGCCGAGGGCTGACGCTCCAGCACAGGCAGCCGCATGAAGAAACACCCCAGCATCCTGCCCGCATTTTCCCGTTACCTCCTCGCCAGATGGGGGAGCGGATGCTGCCGTGCCGGGCCCGGCCGCTGCCCTTCTGCGGCCAGGGCTTGCGGCCGCCACCCCGCACCTCGGCCCGTGTCTTGGTCTTGGCATAGCTCTGCAGGCAGAAGTGAGGATGGGTGAGGCTCGTGGGCAGGTGCCAGTCAGAAGGCACAAGGCCCAGTCAGAGAGCTCGGGCAGAAGCACGAAGAGCCCGAGTCCTCCAGCCTCACAGGGCAGGGCTCTGCTGCCAGGCTCACAGGGCTCAGTCATTTTGGACGATTTTTTTTCTTTTTGAGTTAGAGTCTCACTCCATTGCCCAGGCAGGGGTGCAGTAGCACGCTCATGGCCACCCGAGCATCAACCTGCTGGGCTCTGACGATCCTTCCGCCTCAGCCTTCCAAGTAGCCGGAACTACAGGTGCCCGCTATTATGCCCGGCTAATTTCTTATTTATTGTAGCGATGAGGTCTTGCCAAATTGCCCAGGCTGGTCTTGAACCCATGGGCTCAGGCAATCCACTCGCCTCAGCCTCCCAAAGTGCT